TCCGGGAGGTCGAATCCCGCTCATGACCAACACCAGTCACGATTATCTGAATGTGTCCTGGGCCTCCCCTCGGTCGACTTTGCCTCATCTGAGTATGTGGTGCGGTTGTGTAAACGTCGTCTCTGGGGAGACAACGGAAATCGGATGTGGAGTTAGCCACCCCATTAGACAGACAATCAAGAGCAGAGGGTGTGGCAGTATTAGTGAAAAATAAACGACCTTGTATACAACTTACTACTGTATCTGACCCGGGCGCTTGAATGTATCGTGACAATAAATTATTCTCCGGGTAACCAACATTTGACTCTGATGTGTTTCTATAGATCACCAAATAGCAAAATAACAAACCAATCACTGGATAAAATTGCATCACCCATTCCAAAAGGTGAACTATTGTCGTAGGAGAGCTCAATTAGAATTGGCTAAACCCATCACGTGATGCATTAAACTTTACAGACCAGTACAATCTAAATCAAATCAATTGAATACTTCAACCAGTAGACGAAATATAAAAATAAACTCAGATCACTCGTCCATACTGAATATTCTACTTAGAAATTCACGCAATACATTTTCAAAAGTGGGAGTCTTAGGTAGCCATCTCAGTGATCATGCCAATATCTTTAGCATTCTTCACATAAAAAATAACTAAAACAAGTCATAAAATAATTATAAAACAATTATTTAAAATGTTGATCTTCAAGCATGTATACACGACACTATTTTGACTGGGATATCCTGAGCAAAATTCTATTTTTTTAAGTGCTTGGACATATTTTAAGAACCAATTAAATATATTGACAAACATGTCCCCTTTAAAGGTTCAGAATAAATGGTGATTGTCCCCCATGGTTTGATCCAAACATTTCAGAATGAACGAAAATGAGAGATATTGCCGCGAGTAATGCAAAACCATCACAACATCTCCCTGACTGGAGTACCTATAGAATACTAACACATCGATGAACTCGCCAAATAAGATATTCTACATTTTCACATTTTCATCAAACTATTCTAAATTCACAAAAACCCAAGACTATTCTGGCAAACGTTGAATTCAGTTTAAAACAAAATAAATAAAAAATTCTACGAAAAAATACTCTGACTGGATGGCTAAAAACTGTTCACAAAACAAGCCATTGTCAATGGATTCAAGTATAATTTGACACACCAGAGTAAAATCTCTCCAAATACACCACTGTTCACAACACTTATTACTCCTTAAGCACCAACCCTCAAAATTGTATTGAAAGTCTTTCGCGCTACTTCTCGTTTGGTCCAATATCTTAACTGGATGGACTGCATGAGCTAGCATCAATGAAGACATCGTCAATCCATGGAAGAAGACGAGTTACCTGCGTTTTCACTTGTGGCTGTGACAGATCTCATCTAGAAACCCCTCACACACATCTTTCACCTTTCACTTATTGAAGGTATATTTCCACGGGAGTTAAAATCCACTGTTATTCGTCCAGTATGTAAAAAAATGGCTCTAAAGAAGATCCTAATAATTATAGACCAATCTCTATTCTCTCACCAGTGACAAATATTCGAAAAAATACCTGAATCATTAATACATTGCTACCTAAAAAGTCACAATCTCACACAAAGAGAGTTAATGCACCACTACAGCTATTATGGATGTCTCTTCAGTAACCTGGATACAAGCTACTACTGCTGTGTACTATTTCTTGACTTATCAAAGCCTTTGCCACTGTTGACCATGATATTCCACTCACAAGACTTGCTCAACTAAACATTTCAGACAGTACGATAAAATGGTTTAAGCGTTACCTCTCAGACCATTCTCAAAAGGTACAAAGTGATAACATCTCATCCACAAATCAGAATCTTTCTTTAGGCTCGAGGAATCTGATGAGCTATGAAGCTCTTTTTTTTTTTTTAAATGTCCAGTACGGGCGGGTCAGAAAGTTACAACTACAATACGACAACAAATATTAGCGTGCAAAATATAGGAAAGATCAACGGGTCACAATAATAAATAAAGCTCATGAGTACCCATTGCATAAGTATATCAATTTCCGCCGATTTTTTTTTTTTTACAATAATTGCAAGCTTGGCCAAGGCTCCGAAACAACAACAGCCCCAGACCACAGCAAGGCAACACACAGTCCCTCAATAACATTGCACATTCAAATTGAACTATTGATACACTGGTAAGGATCAAAGTGGCAAATGTGGTTCTGTCCAGCACGAACCTTCTGCTTCAGGATATTTTTTGAAGGAAGATTTACGACGCCAAGAAGGGAGGAAACAAATGTTGTTCCAAAATGTTCGCGCTGCAACAGCAAAGGCTTTGTCACCTTTTACAATTCTCGTTCTTAGGATAGTTAACAGGGCAATTACATGGACATCGAAGGTTTCTTGTATTTGACAATGTGGTTAATGAATTAGCGAAGTACAGCGCAGATTTGCCAACCAGGATTTTATGGATGAACAGGGCCCAATGCAGATTTAATCTCGCATCAAGTGATGTGAGATTGTATTGCTGGGTCCTGTATGGTCCATCCAGTGCAAATAGAAGAGCTAAATGATGAATGGAGTTTAGTCTCGATTTAAAATTCTCACGAAACGTCGTCGGAATTTTATTGTGTTATTTTATTTTATTAATTTATTATTTTATTCTCATTCTACGTGACTTTACCGAAAGAACCAAAGAAGGAGTTTAGTCTGTTCATTGTTTCATTAGTAGCAGATTTTTGCTTTATACTATTTTATTTATTTTTAATGATTTGCTTTCCATTCATATACTTTGCACGCCTATATGTTTCTGTATTGTTGTTGTAACTTTCTCGTCCCCCCCAGCTGCTGGACATCTGTGAAAAAGAGCTTGATAACTCATCCGATTTCACCAGGATAAATATTGTTTTAATATTGTGAATGCGTGATAGATTCGGAAAAATGTTGAAAGTGAGAGTGAATGCGTGAGAGTGTGAATGAATGCATGAGAGTGAATGCGTGGGAGTGTGAATGAATGTGTGAAATGCTTGAGTGAGAGTGACTTGCCTGAGAGTGTGACTTAATGGACGAGAGTGTGAGTGATCACGTGAGAGTGTGAGTGATCACGTGAGAGTGTGAGTGATCACGTGAGAGTGTGAGTGATCACGTGAGAGTGTGAGTGATCACGTGAGAGTGTGAGTGATCACGTGAGAGTGTGAGTGATCACGTGAGAGTGTGAGTGATCACGTGAGAGTGTGAGTGATCACGTGAGAGTGTGAGTGATCACGTGAGAGTGTGAGTGATCACGTGAGAGTGTGAGTGATCACGTGAGAGTGTGAGTGATCACGTGAGAGTGAACGCGTGAGAGTGAACGCATAAAAGCGAACGAGTAATAATGAGAGTGAAGGTGTGAGAGCGAATGCGGAAGATTGAGTGTGAATGAGTGAGAGTGAATGCATGAGAATAAGAGTGATCGCGTGAAAGGATAGTAAATGCGTGAGAGCGGGAGTGAATGAGCGAGTGAGAGTGAATATGTGAGCGCGAAAGTGACTGTGTTAGCGTCCGCATGAATGTAGAGCAGTGTGAGTAAATGCGTGACAATGGGAGTGAATATGCGAGAGTGAATACGCGAGAGTGAATACGTGAAAGTGAGTCAATTCATACGTGAGAGTACATGCATGGGAGTAATGGCATGAGAGAGTGAACGCGCGAGTGAGAGTGAATGCGTGAAAATGAGAATGAATGATTGAGAGTGAATGCACGAGAGTTTGAATGATTGAGTGAAAGTCGGAGTGAATACGCGAGAGTGGGTATTAATGCGCAAAAGTGCGATTAGGCATACGTGAGAGTGAGTGCGTGAATAAGAGTGAATACTTGAGAGTGAGAATGGATGGGTGAGAGTGAGTGAGATTGAACTGTAAAGAGTGAATGCATGAGAGTGAAAGGAGAGTAAATGCGTGAGGGTGGGAGTGAATGCATGACTGAGAGAGAATGCCTAAAAGAAATAAAATACATGCCTGAGAATTAGAGTTAATGTGTGAGAGTGAATGCTTGGGGGCGTTGTTGAATATGTGAGTGAATACGTGAATGTGAGTGCGTGTGAGAGAGTGTGAGTGAATGCGTAAGAGTTAACGAGTGAGAATTAGAGTGAATGTGTGAGAGTGAATGTGTGAGAGAATGGGGGATCCATAGTGTAGCGGTTAGCGCGCTGCATGACGAACCCGGTCCTGGGCCTCCACTGGGGAGACAAAGGCGGCCGAGCGTAGTGCTGGCCACCTACGCCTTCGTGTGCTGTGCCAACCTTCATCGGTGCTCGCGAACAAAAGACCTTTAAGGTTATGCGGGGGATTATTTTTTCTTTGTTATGTCGAACGAATGCGGGATATTGTATGTATGAATGTGTGAAAATGTGAGTAACGGTGTGAGAGGGAATACGTGAGTGAGAGGGAGAGTGAATCCGTTAAAGTGAACGCATGAGAGTTAAAGTTGAATGCGTTAGAGTTTGAGTGAATGCTTGAGTGAGTGCCTGAGAGTGGGGGTGAATGGGTGAGAGTGCGTGCGTGAGGTTGAGTGTGAACCTATGATAGTGAATGCACAAGAGTAAAAGTTAACACGTGAGAGTAAATACGTGACAGTTGGAGTGAATGCGCAAGTGAGAGAGAATGCGTGAGAATAAGAGTGAATTCCTCCGAATGAGAATGCTTGAGAGACAGAGTGTATACGTGGTAGTGGATGCGTGTGAGAGAAGGAGTCAACGCGTGAGCGTGAACGCGTGAGAGTGAATGTATGCGAGTGTGAGCGAATGCGAGCAAATCAGAGTGCATGCCGAAGTCAGAGTGAATGCCCGAGAGTAGGTGTGAATGCGTGAGTGGACGTCTGAGAGTGAGATTGAATACGTGAGCGTGGACGCGTGGGGAGTGTCCAGTCGTCACGAGGCGGCATTGGCAGCGTGCGTCTTGGGGACAGCTAAAAGACGAGGGGAGGCGTGGGGAGTTGGTGGGAGGGGCGGGCGGGCGGGCCTCTATATAAAGTTGAATCTCGTCGCGCAGTTTCGTCCACGCAAAGTCAAATCGTCGCTGTCCTTGCAACGCCGTTTTCTTTCAGCACCATGGAGAGCGGCCGCGTGCTGCTCCTCGCTGCGCTCGGCGCGTCTCTCCTCGTGGTCGCGTGCAGCGCTCAGCTCAGCACCGAGATGAGAGACACCCGCGCCTCCTCTTGGGATATCGCTTCGGTAAAGGACTCAAGCAGCCTCCACGAGAAAGAGTTGGTAAGCTGGCCGAGTAACTCTAGTGTCATAGCGTACACTGGATAACGATCAACGTAGTCACATATGTTGTTTTCTTAGGAAGATTCTTATTCTGTATTTCAATGCTCGTAAACGCACTGGTAATGTTGTTTTCCCTCTTCCAAGTAAAATAAATGTAACTTCTACCAAACTCAACGGCAGTTATAATTAAGTACATTTGTGATGATCTGCCTGCCAGCAACTAAGCTGTTATTTCAGCCCACTTCGTTGTTATTGAATCAATCCCGTGCACACTACGAAATCAGTAACATTGAAATCCAGATACGATCCAAAAGCTTTATCTGGTAAAAAAAAAAACGTCTCCTGAAGGCGCTTTCCCACGTGAAGACGTTGTGTACGTGTTTGTATGGTCGTGTATCCGCAGCCGTTGCGTGTCTTGCAGTCAAGACTAACTGGTAGTGTGCCATCAGAGGTGTGACGCTTTTCACTCCGTCAAAGTGACAACGCAATTGTGCGACCATCATGCCCAAGAAGCGACAGCTGTTGAGTGGTTAGAAGCAAGGAAATCCCTTTGTGAAATATTTTTGCAATACGGGATGCCCAAAACGGATTGGATTTGTGGTTAGCAGAATTGACTATTCAAAATCATCATATCGTTATTTTTGACCATTAGTTAATTAAGTATGTACAAATTTAAAAAGTTGCTACAAAAAAAAACAATTCCACCTAAGAATATAATCTGAGTATCTAAGTAATACAGCAAAATGAAATGGAATCCGTCTGGAAATAAAGCTGCGCCATTTAGAACGAAAACTAAATTATTTTAATTTTACCAGGTAAGACTCACTGTGCTATACAGCTCTTTTCAGACGCGACCTGGCCGGAACTCAACGAAGTGGCTGTACATGAGGACATTTATAGCAACCAAATACTCTAAACGCATGTTTTTAAATGTGGAGGGAAAATCCGGAGGACCCAGAGAAAAATCCACGCAACCACGGGGAGAAACACGCAAACTGCACATATACAGGCATCATGATCGGGATCGAACCCACGACCTCCTGCATGCATTCCGCCACCGTTGCGACAAGTTGTGCCTGTTGCATCATGGGTGCTTAAAACGATGCAAGGACTTTATGAGACTGTTTGATAATCTCAACTAGACGGTTGATTTACCGTCGCCTAAGCATTGCGCACACATCTCACGTTCTGTCCTCTTACAGCTGGAGGCTCTGCAGGAGGTCCTCGAGAAACTGCAGAGCAAGAGAATCCCCACCTGGGAGAAGAAATTCGGACAAGTCGCTTTGGTAAGTGGCTTCTTCTCGCACTGCAGCCAGGCGGAGAAAGAAACGTTTAGAGACAAAACACACATTATACACACGACCACATTGAGAAAAAGACGTATAAAGTAGAGAGGACATAAATACACAAGATGATTACGTTGTATGCATGGAATTAAACGCCATGGAACACAGAGCCTTGGATAAAAAGGAGCACATGAAGACACCGTAACACGGAGAGACACCGAGAAAAAAACAAAGCGAAATATCAGAAAAGGTTTTACTCCTTCTGGCAATAAGGTAGGTACATGCATATTACACAAAACACGGTGAGCGAAGGCTCTGCCGGTGTTTCGACCAGAGTGGCGGGGAGCCACGCGCACAGGCGGGGCAGTCATTGTTGCTCACCGCCCAATAATTGCGCCGTTTATCAACGTCCCTTGGTGACTGGCCGTGTGTTGCGCTTAGTGGGGCTGTGTGTGCGGGTTTGCAGTGCGGCGCTGGAGACCAGTGCGCTGTGAGGAAGGGAGCGCGCATCGGCAAGCTCTGCGACTGCCCTCGCAGCTACGCCTGTAACTCGTTCCTGCTCAGGTGCCTGTGAGCAGCGCGAGCAAAGCAGCAACCAGCGCCAGACCAAGATCGCGTCGCCTCTGCACACGCAGCTGAACCGGCGACTCAACTCACCAACTCGCTACTCGCATCCACAAAAAAACCCGGTCGCCCATAGCGTTACATAATAATGATACATAATCTAAGACCCTTTACTCCTTATCACGCTTCTCTAGCATCCACCCAACTCGACCCCTCTCAATTCACGGCACGGATCTTGCCTGCCAAACCTCGGTGCAGTTTTGACAGTTGTCATGTTGATGAATCGTTCTTTATCGATTGTTACACTCATAAAAAAACAATTGTGCGTTTTGGGATCGATTATATATGTATAATTCAAAGTGTATGCATATTACTCGCTATCTTTAGGCTCCTAAAATGGACGAGGTAAAAGACACGAGACACAGATCGTGAACGAGAGGTGTCATCTCTTTGAATAATATACAAAAAAAATCAAACACCGAGGACTGGACCGTGACGGTCAGGCTAGAATCCAAAAAAGTAATGGCTCCCCTCACCCCCCATCCAATAGCTCAAGACCTCGCCAACCCGTGCAAGTGCTGGGAATAGTCACAAGTAACTGAACGTCAATAACGTAGAACGTCTATATTTAATCGTCTCTTTGTTGAACGTTTACCGCGAACATTCTGTATTCGTTATGTAAATAATAAAGTATATTCTGTTCCTTGGTATGCACTCAGCGCGTGTGTTTATGCAGGGACTACGATAACTCATTGAAGAATCCGTTTCCTTATAATCGTCTGTAATTAACGTATTCTTGCTTTCGAGAAAATAAAATATAAGCCACAAGTGTCATTATTAAGCCAGGTGGAGTATTTATTCGCTGATTTGTCGTGGCATAAAATGACTCGTGACATTTGCAGGTAATTTGTGTAATAAGGTAATTTCTATAAAGTAACCACTTTAGTCATGCGCTTTTTTTTCATTGAGGAATGAGCAAAACGACACGAACACTCTCCTGAAGCCCCCTCGTGACGAGCAGACCTCAACATTGGCATTTATCTCCTAAACATATTGCTATACCCAATACGGTCTTCCTTCCGATGTTAGGAAGCCACCGAAACTCTGCACTTTTAAATCTAGTATGAAAACCAATTTCTTTAGAACTGCTTTTTGTGTTCAGTTTGTTGTCCTTTCTCCACACCTCCGATTAACACGGTTGGCTACGTACGGTGCGAACGAAGTGAACATACATACATGAATATAATTTCTATAAGTATATAAATAAATATCATCACAACAATCGCTCCTCTTGTGTGCGTTTCCTCCGTTTGACGTGTCCTGTCAAAGCCCAGTTTTAAACAATGAAAATATCGTTTCTAACAACGTGCAATTCAAATCCATTAACTTATTATTTCCGCATCACTTCATGCAACCACCTGCGTTGAGTCTTTGCGATGTTGTCAGATTTTGTTTAACAGTTCTTTGTTAAAGCTCAGATAAACGTGTATCTATTAAAATGCTATTTTTTTGCCACATTTTTAGCGGAGCAGACAACATAATCATAAAAAAACGTTAGTCACTTAAAATTAAAGATCGTCGCCATTTTTGCAAAATGGCAATAATTTTTTCACAAAATTTCAAATTCTTATGCCTTTTAAGAAAAAAAATGTTTTCTTATTGATCTTAGGTTCTTAATCTATGCTTGTGGTATAAATTGTTAAGTAAAAAAATGATCATTAAAATCCAAGATAGCCTTGTTTTACGGCAAATTTATATTTTATTTTCAAATACAGATAATTATAAATATAGCGATGTCGTTGTGTTTCCACTGATTTATACCCCAGTTTGATCTACAAATCTAGATTCCAACTAGGTGCTGTGCATCTGAGGCCCAAGCTATACTATTTGCATATTCCATGACCAGTCTTTCTTACAGTCTTTTTTCTCCATACTACGGTGTAAAATGCGGTCTTCATACATGGCACAGACAAAGATGAGGTTTGGGATGGAGGTGGCACGTGGAGGACCGGTGGTTGAGTGGTCGAGGAGCAGCGATAGTGGCGTGTAGAGGAAGCTGTACGGAGGAGCCACATTGAGGTGGCGGAGCGACGTCGGGGTACAATTTCAGTCTTCACGGAGGAGCAAACGTGAGTGGTGGAGCGATGTGCCCGTTTTTGACGACATGGTGGTGGGTACGGCACGAGTGGACCGTGGGGGAGCAGCGTGTCTAGTGGGAGCAACATGTTAGAGCGGCATGTACCGCTTGCATGCCTCCAGTGTGTTTGTATATTTGTATCTCTCATTCATCCCCTCTTTCTGCTTATTACAGTTGCTTCACTTCTCTCCTCTCCGTGACTCGACTCCATACGCTTTGTCCCCCCCCCCCAACTCTTCCTACCGTGGCTTATTTCTGCTCTGCATGCCCATCTCTCTCCCCTCCCGCACATTCACCTCTCTCATCGTCCCTTCCCTACCCTCTGTAAATTTTGTCTCTCTCCTCCCCACAATCAGTCCCTACATTTTGACCCTCCTTCCATAGTCGCCCCACCTATTCCATCTCGCTTCTTCCCTCTCCTCCACGCACCTCATTTTCTCGCTCTTCTTGAAAATATTATTTCATTCCACAACGCTTATTTCTCACTATTCTATATGGTCCTCCTCCTCCTCACCACGTCCTGGTCTTGTTTTTTCTACTATACCCATGCGATATAGACCCACTAGTATTATGTAATCGCAAATCGGTTAGCAAGCTGCTATTCTTGTTCTTTCTACTCAAAAGGCGAAATTAAATATAACCATGGGCCTACACCGTTTTCTTCCTCCCTCTTCTTCATTTCGTGCCTCCGACTTCGCTAAACGTTCGGGCTTGGGCACCCTACATATGAACATCCATGGTCTCTTTAAAAAGTTTAAAATATACAAACTGTGACCGGACATTGTGCCCGCATCACTGAAACTGGGCTCTGGACTAGAAATAACACAACCTCGTAGTAACCTGACAGACCGTCGACATTTATGCAGCGACAACCCTCCTTATTCATACTAAAAATTATATTGGCTTAAACTTTGTTTAGTAAAAAGTCTCCTCCGCGTTTCTGAAATACACTTCAATCCCTCTCTTTATTTCCCTATTAAATAAAAAAAAACACCACAGCTTACTTGGTCTCATTTTATTTACACTGGTTTGTCAGTTGTGAAATATTAATTCCAAATACATTCCAGTGTATCATATCGAGCAGAAAAGATACTCGTATAATGTATACGCATCAAAAGACGACAATTGAATTTGTGCATTTGTAGCATCTTTACGTATTTGTGCGAGTTACGTGTGCTTAATGTTTACGTAACTGCTTCGGGGGTACAGTCATCATGCAACAGTGATGATGTGCGTCGTGTAGACGAATTACCGCTGGGGGTGGAGCGGGGGTTTGGTGGGAAGGGCTTACTTCGATATAAAGTTGAATCTCATTGCGCATTTTCGTTAAAACTACATCAAATCGTAGCTGTTCATGCACTCGGTATGTTCGCAACGTCCTTTTCTTTCATACCCATGGAGAGCGGCCATGTGCTGCTCCTCGCTGCGCTGGGCGCGTCTCTTCTCATAGTCGCATGCAGCACTTAGGTCAGAACCGAGATCAGAGACAACCGCGCTCACGTGAAGACGTGGTGGTGTGCATGTTTGTATGGTTGCGTGTGCTGGTAACCCCTCCACCTGGAACTTTTTGTACCAAGCACCACGATGGAAACACCCAACTAAGCTCGTGCTGGAGGCCCCAGGGGACATATATTTCTGACGCCCTTTGGCCAAACCCCATTCGCGGAGCCAGATTGAGTCCCCTCTCTCGGGATTCCTCCAGGAACAGGAGAATACAGTATTGCGATTGGCCACGTGGAATGTTCGAACTCTCGTTGTGGACGGGAGGCTGCCATTCCTTTGTCGGGAGATGGACCAGTACGGCCTGGACCTCTGCGGAATACAGGAGGTGCGGTGGACTTGTTCTGGCATCAGTCACCATGAGGGCTGGAGAGTCCTCCACTCGGGGCAAGAAACTGTCAGAGAACAGGAAGTGGCATTGCTGCAAAGCAAAACAATAAAGGGGGTGTGGGCACGCGGAAGTGAGGTATGGGAAGCTGTGAGTCCCATACAGCTGTAGGCTCGCCTCCCCATCAACAAGAGGCTAGGAATGGTGGTGGTGCTTGGTTACACCCCCACCGAAGATACACATCAATGGAGGGATGCAGACAAGGCCGATGAGTCAGACGCATTTTATAACCTGTCCAAGGTGCTAGCTGAAATGGCCCCTGGGGATAGTCATCCTGTTGAGTGACTTTAATGACCAAGCAGGACATGACGTTGAAACCTGGGCTGGAGTGATTGGAAGGCATGGGCCAGATTAGCTCAATAATAAGGTAGGAAGCTGCTAGCCTTCTCTGCAGCCCATGGGCTTTTAATTATCAACATGCTGTTCTGACATCAGCGCATTCACACAGCATCATGGATGCATGCCAAGCAAGAGCATCTGGTGGACTATAATAAGACAAAACAGAGGATGCGGGCCCATGTCCATTGACACCAGGACCGACCGTGGAGATGATCTTCGACCACGTAATTTGAGAGGCTTTCCATGGCTGTACAGGAGGAATTTTCATCTGGTACAGATGCAATCGGATGGCTCCCTATTGGTCAACCATGTTATGTATGTTGATGACCTGGTGATTGCTGCTCACTCAGAGAAAGAGTTGGAGGTGCTGCTGCTGAACCTGGAGTATGTCACTCAGAGGTGGGGCCTTACCATCATCCAGAACAAAACTAAGCACGTGCCTGGGTATTTTGTGCCATCAAACACTCCACCCCCTCAATTCCCCATTGGTGATAGGCAGTTGTGAAAATAGTGAATAGTATTCCATACCTGGGCAGTGTGCTTATGACTAGCTTCGGTTTGACAGCAGAGGTTTCACTCCAAAACAGTCGGGCGGCATTATGTTTTTATCGGCTGCGTAACGCTGTGTGGAAGGTACCTGGTCTGTCGCTCCACACAAAGCTTCGGGTCATCTCGACCACAGCCCTCCCTTCTTTATGCCTGTGAAACGTGGACCTCGCGAATGAAACATCTGCATCGGAACATCAGGGTGGCCTGCCCATCCTGGGATTACTGTAACTCGGCTGCATTGTGTGAGGAGGTGACAAATTCTTGAAAAATCTGGACATTCACATCACTTAACTCCTCTGACGGGCAAGGCTATGTTGGCTAGTTCATGTAGCCCGCATGCCCAGCTATCACATGCCCAATCAGCTACTGTTTGGCCGGATAAAGGGGGCTAAACGGGCGAAACGTGGGCTGGAAAAGAGATGGACTGATGGGATATAGGAGGATATGGGACTGAGTGGGCTTGCCAAAGACTGGTACCAGCGGTGTCACAATCAGCCTCTATGCAGGAGGCTCGTGAAGGACGCTCCTCCAACAATGGAGGGCAGAGGAGTGATGCGCACATCAACTAGCGGAGCGCGGGGCAGATACAAATACAGCAAGTTGGCACAGTTGAAGGCACAGCTTGTTCACCTGCCAGTCATCTCAGTCAGTCAACCCATATCATTTGAGCCTGTTCCATGAGCTCCTGTCAGCGAGCCTTCAACACTTCACGTGGCTTCAGAGTGCACTTGGTCTGACACAAGTGCCGTGGTGACATCAGTGCCACTTATATAGTGGCGAATGGTGGCTGGTGTT